TGGGGCACGTGATGCTCTGTCTTCTTGGTGCTTGGGGGGGGTCAACAGTGGGAGGGCTTCTAATGTCCTGGCCCCACTGGGGGACCTCCTGATGGCACTGGTATTTCTGGCCACTGTGGGATACAGAGTGTTGGACTGGGTGGGACTTTGGTTCTTATGTTCTATTTATTTACTTCCTTTGTACCCCCAAACGGGGACCCACAGTGGCTTATAGCCTTCTCCGCTTCTCCGTTCTGTCCTCACAACAAGGCAGGTTAGGCAGAGTGTGTGTAACTGGCCCACGTTTGCTTCACTGGCAGAGTGAGGATTCAAACCTGGGTCTCCCAGATCTTAGTCAGACGCTTTAAGCACTACACCCCCCTTGGCTCTCTGAATGTAGCCAGTTTTCCAAAGAACGTGTATCACGTCTGTAATATGTCTCTGTACAGATGGAAAATCTGGAATGTACAATTTGAAACTCTTTGGTATTTTAGGGTGGGAGTGACTAGTAAATGGGAGGCGTGGCTCATGTGACGTGCTGCCCGTTTAGGTTCAAATGAATTGGCTGCGTTGGAATGGAGGTCATAAATCTCATTTGCAATCACTACTCTGATCGCTGGAACTCCAAAATGCACCTTCCAGGCTGCAGACGTGGAAGTGGAGAGCTATGGCTCTCCCCACAGAAAGGCGACTCCTGCAAGTGAAAAAATAAAGCCAGGAAAAGAAGAGGAGATTTGATTTATACCCCACCCTCAGATCAGCTTACAAACTCCTTCCCCTCCCCCTCCCCACAACAGACACCCTGTGAGGTAGGCGGGGCTGAGAGAGCTCTGACAGCAACTTCTCTTTTTCAAGAACAGCTCTTATCAGAACTACGGCTTGCCCAAGGTCATCCAGAGAGGAGAGAGAGGAGATTGGATTTATACCCCGCCCTTCACTACCCGAAGGTGTCTTAGAGTGGCTTACAAACTCCTTCCCCTCCCCCTCCCCACAACAGACACCCTGTGAGGTAGGTGAGGCTGAGAGAGCTCTGACAGCAACTTCTCTTTTTCAAGAACAGCTCTTATCAGAACTACGGCTTGCCCAAGGTCATCCAGAGAGAAGAGAGATGAGATTGGATTTATACCCCGCCCTTCACTACCCGAAGGAGTCTCAGAGCGGCTTACAAACTCCTTTCCCTCCCCCTCCCCACAACAGACACCCTGTGAGCAATGCTCCCTCTAAGCTGTGGAGTATTGTGAACAAAAATTCTACTTTGGGAGCTACTGGCATAAAAGGTGTGAGCGAGTGATTTGGCTGCTGCATAAATTAGTTTGCTCTGGGGCCATCCTTCCTGAGCGAAGACAAAAATTTGTGAGCTGGAGGCGAAAAATCTGAGCTAGCTCACACTAACTCAGCTTAGAGGGAACACTGCCTGTGAGGTAGGTGGGGCTGAGAGAGCTCTCTACAGAAACTGCTCTTTTTCAAGAACAGCTGTGCCAGAACTATGGCTTGCCCAAGGTCATCCAGCAGGTGCAAGTGGAGGAGTGGGGAATCAAACCCGGTTCTCCCAGATTAGAGTCCACGCACTTAACCACGACACCGAACTGGGCCCTATGAGATAAAGCAAGGCAATGCTGTCCAATGGGACTTCTGAAAGTCCCTATATCTGAAGAGCCTTAAAGGGAAAATACTATACCTGAAACATCGTTCTATGTGCCATGCATGGCACTTGAGAACCACAGCTCATTGCGTCATTGCTCGTGCTGAAAATGCTGCACTGAAGAAGTAAAACAAAGAATGGATCTTGAATAGCTGCCAAGAGATGCCAAGGAAAATGCATGTCTCTATGTCCCTCTATCTGACACAGTAGCAAGAGACTATGCAAAGGTCAGTTGTGTTTTAAGCGCAGATAGGAGGGGCAGTTCTCTGCCCACTAAACTTGTTTCATCCTCCTGGCCTGGGATGGGTGGCCGGTGAGATCAAGCGGGTGATGAAGACCGCTGGCTGTTGGGGCTACCATTGGGATAGCCCTCTGTTTGTAACAGGTTTCTTACAGGCTGATTCTGCACCCCTCTGTTTCCTCACAGTTTTTCCACAGCCACATCGGGAGGTTAATCTCCCTCCGCACTGCATGCCGCTTTCACTTTCTTTGTTCATCAGGTCTTATGGTACCTTCTGCACAGGTTTATGGCCGTTCAGGGGCGACTTCACAGTCAGTACAGCGTCACCCCGAGCAGTGTTCCCTCTAAGCTGAGTTAGTGTGAGCTAGCTCACCGTTTTTTAGCCTCCGGCTCACACATTTTTGTCTTCACTCAGGAAGGATGGCTCCAGAGCAAACTAACTTATGCAGTAGCCAAATCGCTGGCTCACAACTTTAATGCCAGCCTCTCACAAAGTAGAATTTTTGCTCACAAGACTCCATAGCTTAGAGGGAACATTGATCCCGAGGTATCTGAATATGGTTTTGAGTGGCACCTTTTCTTTCCTCCCCTTCTGATTCAAAGGGAACAATAAGCAGACAATTTGACACGACTTTATTGATCTCTGTCAGTATTTATCACCTCACCATGAATTACTTGGCTCAGGTGGCCACCGAGGCAAGTACTGACACAGAAAAATCTGCATACCAGATTGAATGAAAACATTCTGAGGCAAGGGGGGAACCAGGTCGAGCACGGCGAAAATGTGGAGCAAATGCCAGATGCAGAATGGACCACAGAATGTACGTCAGTGCTTCTGAACTCCCCACCAACTTCATTACTCAGGTTGGACCGTCTGCAGTTCTTCTAAACCCACCATTTGCTGTCGGACATGAACGTGCATTTAAGCCAATGGCTGACTTATAGTTCATGACAATGGCAAGGCTTTTGAGGAAACAGAGTGGAGGCTGTGGGGCTGATTTTAGGGGTATCATTCACAGTGCTGGCCATCATTTTTAAGAAGGAAGCAAAGATGATTATCCCTTAAAGAGAAGGTGCATCCATGCAGTGTAGTTCTTCATTTCTATATGGCGCAAAGAAGAATTACCTGCTCATGTCAAGTTGCAATGTCTCAGGTGGAAAAGCACAAGTGATATGGAGAATCTGTTACATGCTGATTGCATTATCAGAAGTGTGCGACATTCTTTTCCTCTCTCTTTCATTATCCTGAGACAGTGGACTCTCCTGCCCAGTGAGCACACCAGGTCACTTAGAACTGATACCTCATATTGAGGCTAAAGAATATCACAAAACTGAACTGGGTACTCCTACATTTAATTCTTGCCTTAATTCTCCATTTCCTCTTCAGAGTACTCAAGGTTCCGAGTTTGATTTTGGAAATAATTTTATGCCGGGGCGGCCCTGACAACTCGTAGTATTACACATAATGTGAGAGGGGAATATACCTAATCCGCTGGGAATATCAGTGGGGCATTATTTGAAAAGTCATCAAATTCAGTTGGTTGCGTCCAATGCTCCCTTCTAAGCGGTGGAGTCTTGTGAGCAAAAATTCTACTTTGTGAGCTCCTGGCATTAAAGTTGTGAGTGAGCGATTGGGCTGCTGCATCAATTAGTTTGCTCTGGAGCCATCCCTTCCTGAGCTAAGACAAAAATCGGTGAGCCGGAGGCTAAAAAACAGTGAGCTAGCTCGCACTAACTCAGCTTAGAGGGAACACTGGTTGCATCTATATACAAGTGATGCTCTGAAAAATGGCAGCCACATTGCCTTTGGATCTAATAGTCTCTGAAGGA